GAATTTTTCCTAGAAAGGTGTCAACTATGGAACTTTTGTTTCTTATATGGTAATTATTATTGCTTTGCATAAAAACATTGTAATTGTAATTGTTTAGACTAATCCTATGATCAAAAAAATTGACCTGCAGCGTGTTGAATTGTTTGGGAGGGGGATTTGTTTGGTACAGTTTTCTTGACCATTTACTAGGTTTGTCTTAATGTGTCATGAAGAGAGTTTGGAATAACAGCTTGTGCATTTCTTGATACTGGAGAATATTGTTAAGAGATTGTGCTGAGCATTCAATTGTGAACCAAAAAAAATAGTTATGAACAGGTGCAGCCGATCAAAAAAAAAAAAGCTATGAACTGGCGCATTGCATAGAAGTATTGATTAGCTTTGAAATTCATTTGTTGGACTTCTGCAAATACGGAGTTGCAGGCAATTTTTTTTATCTTTTCTGGTTGAGCTTACAATATAAAAGAAATATAGAAGCTAGTCAGAATATGTGGGAGACTGCCTGTGAGTTCATGCATGATGCATCTGTTTAAAATGTATGATAGTGTTAGCTGTTATTCATCCTGAGACCATAAAAGTTATATGTACCCACTGTGGTCATAATGTGGACTGCACCTTGATTTCATCATCGGAAAAATGTGGATTGCACCTCGATTTGAATGTATAAGGGGCCGTTTGGTTTGCAGCATAGATCTCTTACTAATGTGATCTATAGAACCTTTATGGTGTAAATCTCTGTATAACTAATGTATTGTTTATTTTTCAGTATTAAACTCTGCTAGTTGTTGCAGAAATAGAATGTGAAATAATAGTATATTTAGTAGCTATACCTGGATTAGAATATCTAAAGACAAAAGATCGCCTTAAAGTAGGGAATCCCCGTACAATAATTATTATCACTAGACAACAATATCCCTATATTATATTCACCGCATAATAACCCTGTATTATAATCCATGCATAACTAGCCATTAACCAAACTACCCCTTGATGATGTATTTAACTTGTATTTGTGCTATTAAGTTCTCTTCTTAGTTACCTGGTTATTCTATGTAGGCAATTGACTTGTATATGCTATTGAGCTCCTTTCTGCCAAAAGGGGGTCAAATAATATCTGTTGCTGTCTATCCATCTGAGTTTGGACTCAAGCGTATGGAAGAGGAGGCTGTCCATGGTCCAGTTGGCCTATTTGATGATGAAAATGGACAAAATGAAGACAGTGATGATGGTGATGATAATGATGAGATTGACAATGAAAAATTACGTGCTTATGAAATGAGTCGACTCAGGTGACGATATGGTTCTTTTTTTCCTGAGTCATGTATCTTTGAGCGATTCTTGCACTTTTTGCTGACCTAAAGCGAAAACTTATTGATGATCTTTTATGAAATTTTTTCTTCTCCTTTTTCCTTATGCTCCTCTGTTCTGTGATTCATAATTTCTATGTCTTCAATTTTATATCCCACGGGTCTCTTTTTAAAGTAGCTTCTTTTGTATTATGCAGGTATTATTATGCTGTGGTGGAATGTGATTCAAGCGCTACAGCAGATTACCTTTACAAATCTTGCGACGGGGTTGAGTTCGAAAGAACATCAAACAAATTAGATTTGAGGTTTATTCCAGACTCCATGGAGTTCAAGCATCAACCACGGGACATTGCAACGGAGGTAATTTATGGCGTCACTTTGTAATCACGGTGGTATTTAGTTTTTACGACTATTACTGCCTGGAAACATAAAATCTAATCACATTTGTGTTTGAAGTGTTCCATTGGTTGTTATTGAATATTATTATACTTTTGGCATTCTGAGTTATCTGCTTGTTTACCTTTTCATCAAATGAAAAAATAAGTGATCTAATTGGACCCAAGGGTGGACCTAGTGGTCAATAAAGTGGATGGAGAACCATGAGGTCTCAGGTTCAAATCCCAACAGAGGCGCTAGGTGCTTTCATCTCACCTATCCAAGCCTTGGTGGACAGAGTTACCCGATACCTATGCTAATCAGAGGTAGCAGGTTCCCGTGGAATTAATCAAGGTGCGGGCAAGCTGGCCCGAACACCACAATTATAAAAAGAAAAAAGTGATCTAATTGTGCCTGCATGTTTGCCTTTTATTTCCGAGATCACTCTTCTGTCAAGGAAAATGATGAATATCATGTTTTTCTTCTTTGCCCTGTTTTTCTCTCTGCTCTCTATTCTTGCGTGAGGAGTCAACAACTCCATGTCCCCATGGTTAGAATAGAGAGTCTTTTTCTTCTTTCTCGGTTTCTTTTTGGGATGAGGGGAGGTGTTATTTCACTTTCTGAGAGCTACTGTTCTTTACAAAACTAATATTCTTAAGGCATATGTAATTCTTGTTGCTAAAGAAGGTATTTCTTGAGCAATTTTGTCTTCTCTTTCTGTATGATGATTTAACTGTTCTTTCTTAATATGACATTAGCATTTCTCTTTTGCATCTTTAGAGATTAAGTAAAATTTTCTTGTCTGCTTAACTTTACCTGCTAGAATACTACTCTTAAAACGGGGAAGAAACCAACATGATTGTTTAGGTGATTGATTATTATGTTCTTTTGATACTTAGGCCCCTGCAGATTATGAAGGTCTAGATTTTCACACTCGAGCTCTGCAGCACAGCAATATTGAACTTACATGGGATGAGGATGAGCCACAACGCATCAGGACCTTGAAGAGAAAATTCAATGCTGATCAGGTTAACTCTTATTTGCTGTAGTTTGTGTATGTGTCTTTTAGTTCTATATGTCTGCGAGAAACTTGAACTTTGTCAAACCAGTTTTCTTGCTGAGATGAGCAAGTTCAAGAAGATTGTCAGGCACCTCTTTGTTTGCTTTTCTTTAATTATATAGTGTGCACATGCTTGCTTTTACTTATGGGTGTTGCATGTGCTTATCTGTGTTAGTATTTTGCTATCTATGTCTGCTGATAAGGTTGTGTTGCACTTGCCAATATCAGGGATGTTCTTTTTTGGGCTTTTAAGATTTTAATGTGTTGCTTATTTAAAAAATCGTCATGTTTGTCACCTTGTTTCTTTTCCTCAAGGCGATTGATTGTTCTTTATTACTCGGCAAGTATTGATGTGGTTTCTTTTTTGGCAGCTGGCAGATATGGAGTTGAAAGAATTTTTGGCTTCTGATGAGAGTGAAAGTGATGATAGTGAGGAAGGTGATGACACAGAAGATAAATCTGCCAAAAAGAAGAAAAAACAAGATAGGTACCGTGCACTGCTCCAGTCTGGGGAGGGTTCAGATGGAAATAATGAGGACGATGATCAGGACATGGAGGTCACGTTTAACACTGGCTTGGAGGATCTAAGCAAACGTATCCTAGAAAAGAAGGATAAACAGTCGGAAACTGTATGGGAAGCTGTTCTCAGAAAGAAAAAAGAGAAAAAGAAGGCCAGGAAAGGTAAGTCCAAGGATTCATCAGACGATGAGACCAGCGATAGTGATCAAGAACCTATAGAAGAACCTGAGGACTTCTTCATAGAAGAGCCTTCCAAGGATTCCCAACATCAGAGCACCAGGAAAGGGAAGCAGAGCGTTGAAGCATCAGAAGAAGCTGAAGCAAGTAGAGCAGAGCTTGAGCTATTACTTGCAGATGACAAGGGAGGAGATGCTAACTTGAAGGGTTACAACATGAAACCTAAAAAGGCAAAGGGGAAGAAGGGTAAAGAACTTCCAAATGAGGACAAGTTACCAAGTATCGATTATGAAGATCCACGGTTTTCATCTCTCTTCAAGTCACCACTCTTCGCATTGGACCCCACAGATCCTCAGTTCAAACGGTATATCCCATCTTCTTGTTCGCACCAATTTCTATTCGTGTATCAAAAAACAAAACTGGCCTGGCATTATCCCAACTCCCAAAAAACCCTTCTTGCTTATTTCATTTGCTTACGATATCTATTTTGGTTGTTGCAGGAGTGCAGCTTATGCTCGTCAGCTGGCGCAAAAGCAACACAGGGCCGAAGAAGAAATCGTGAAGACAAAACAACAGCCGGGAATAGCTGCACCGCTGCAGCCATCCAGCACATTAGAGGCAGTAACAAGTGAAAAATTACAGTCGGATGATTTGCCTTCAAGAAAGGAGAAGCACGAGCTATCTTCCTTAGTTAAATCCATTAAGATGAAATCAAAGCAAATATCATTGCCCTCTCAAGTTAAGGTGGTAGGAAAGAATGAAAAAAGTCGAGCAAGGGCAAAGAAGATCAATGAAGAGCGAGGAAAATAAGAGAACGATAAGAATGAAAAAAGACGAGCAAGGGCAAAGAAGAAGGATGAAGAGCGAGGCAAAGAAAGACAGCGAGAAGTAAGAGGTCATATAAATCTTGCTTTAAGACTTCCCATGATAGTAGAAACAAAGTCTGTGAAGGTAAATCGTGGTTCAGTATGGGGTGAATAGTGGACGCAGTGAATCTCAATATGTAACTTATTATATTATCAGAATTGCCCCTATTTGTTACTGTAAGGTCTAAGTTTAAGGTGGTGGGGCAGAATTTTTTTGAATATAATCCGTTATTGTTTTGCGGTGTTACTTTTACACAGTTGGACGTTTTACAATTTACAATTTTTTTGTTTTACAGTGGTCAACTGTAAATTTGATATAATTCTTCTTTGCTCGTCCAAGATTGAAAATGCAATGACTTGCTCCTAAGTATTTTCTTTGACTTGCTTCAAAGGATTCTGATTACTGTGCTAAAGTCTGCTTGAAAAGCAAAGGTAGACTAAACTAACACAAGTACAATTTCATGGATCATTTTTCTCCCAATATAGCAGTGTTGAAGTCAACTTGCACACACATCATCCATTTCATCGGATACACCTGTTAATTCCTCACCAACATTTTGTCGTTTTGTCTATGGTGGGATATAAACCCTAATCTCTCATTTTTTTATTCTCTTCGTTGACTGTTAGGTCATGCACGTGTTTGCTTTAATTTCAAGGGCCATACGTAACCAAAAGAAGAAAATACCCTTTACCGGTGGGTTTCAATGAAAGAAAGATCTTTAAACCTAAAGAAACAAAGAAAGAAATGAGTTATATTTACAGTACATATTTGGTATAAACAGCAATATCAAACATGCTGTACTTAGTCGCTTCAATTCTATGCGATCATTTAACAGAGCTCAATATTATACAAAGGGCAATAAAAAGCCTCATGAAGAAATAATGATCAAATAATAGCTAAAAAGGGAAAACAGAGCCATCATAAGTTGGCAAATGAAATGTGCTGGTGCTTGGTTTGCTGCAGGTTTAGATGATTGAACAGATGGAAACGAAGTAGCGGGTTCATTTCCACTTCCATTTCCCTTGGTGGCCTCTGGCACCACACTGGAGGGCGAAGGCGCTTCAGTAGAATTACGCTTGTTCACTGGCAGAGTTGTCGATTTGTCGTTGGATCCTCTAGAATCATAACCTGCCAAGAAAGGTTTATAGTTAAATTATATGAGCAGGTGTGCACACTAAAGAGGTCATACTCAGGAATGCGAACTCACAATCCGATGGTTTCCAACCCAAAACCATCTTCTCCCGATCGAAAACCACGCGATAGCCTGTCATAAAATTTTCTGCAAAAACATCCGTGTATTAGTTTTCTGTCATGAATTCCAAATAGAGAGACAAAATCCAAGTAAATCAACAAATAGCTCAGACTTTTGACAATGGAACCAGTTTTACTAGTTGGTTTTTACTAATTTACTTTGTCACATTCACATTTCCAATTATACATAAGCTAGAAGTATGTAAAAAACTCGATAGGAACCAAAACTTCTAAAAGTTGGTAATTGTGAGATCATTAGCTGGCATGGTGCAAGTTATATTGCAGAATTCCATGGATAGAAACAAAATCTTACGAGCAAGCAACTGATAGATACTTACGTCCAATGATGTTGACATCCCCACTTTTCACAACAGCTAAGCAATATGCGCCAGAACGATCCTGATGATCATCACTGGATATTAGGATATTCTAAAAGAGAACTTTTGTAATATAAAAGGAGCAGAAACCATCTTACCTGGAGCGAGAGCATTATTATCGGATCAAAAAGAAATAATTGGTTGCCGCCTTTCATTGTCAAATTTACATCAGGAACTTCGAAGGTAGTTTGATTTGCACTGCGTATGTAGCATGTTAATCCTGAGAGTTCAAAGGACGTCAAGAAAGTAATAAATGATGAAGATTATAAAAGATGGTTCACCTTAGCCCGTAGCAGTATTCAAAAGGAATTTCGCCATCAGGTTGAATACGTGGCTGTTTTGCTTGAGAATCAAACTGAAAAAAGAAAAAAAATATCTTCAGTTTTACAATACAAAGTTACAAACTCCAACTTAAAATCATACAGTCAGCTTGTCGCTCACGTTCTCTGTAATGACTTTGTAAGCTGGGTCATTCAAGTATGTGAATGAAGTGCCAGAGTCAAAAATGGCTGTGAAATCAACATCAGTGATCTTGTTTCCCACTGTTATTCCTGTCAAGCTGATGTTATAAGTTGGGCTGCAATTCAGGAAAGGGTAAGAGTTAATAAATATTCAGTCGCATTCTCCTAAATCAAGCCAGAAACAGAAGCAACCGATAAACCCAGAATATCAAAGTGACTTGCTTACTGTAGTTGATCAAGATTGAGTGGTGTTTCTCCTTGGGCTGGACTCCCTTTATCTCCAAAGACTATTCTTCCAATACCATCAGGCCCAAAGCACATGGAGAAAGAATTTGCAGCAAGACCTTTACTTGCTAACATGCTCGGAACAGATATATTTTCCAAGCCAAGTCCGAATAGACCATTAGGAGCTGCGCCACTTAAAAATGCACCAGTTTGTCTTATCCCACACCTGAAATTGAACAAGTAGAATATAAAAAATCATGGCGGATAAAGAAATGCATCAGAAGATCCAAAGATAATCTCTTCCAAAGATAAAGAGAAAAAACTAAAGCATACCCACCCCAGAGCAATTGGAGCCTCAACACTTTTTTGTTGAGCATTATCTGTCTCTAAGTGCAAGATGTCTTCCACCAGTACCCCTGATGATGAGGTGTTATTGGAGAGATATGCAACTCCATAAGCACATGCATTTTGTGAAGATAAGCATCGTCTCCTTTGTCCACACAGAGTGCTGTTGCAAGGAACAATCTGACCCGTTGACGACGTATTAGGGCTGTAAATATTGAGATTTATTCGCTGTTTCAAAAGCAAACAAAAGATTACAAGTGTCAAATAATACATGCAGAAACATTAAAAGGAAAAGGCAAAAGAGCAAAGAAAATTTTGTTCTTCAAGGTGAACTCCTGTGGAGTTTTTAATCAAACAGTATTGTATATTCGGTCCTCGTGATCATTCCATGTATTCAGTTAGAGTTCGTGACTTAGTACTACCAGTCTTGGGAGATTGTACATTCATATTTGTTCCGCTGTTAGTTTTGGTTACTTATTTAATTAAAAAAAAAATGGCTCCAAAAATGTAATTGAAATCGGCTTACCTAGTTTTAGAGACTAGGTGCCATCACGACGCCTGTGGTGGGATTTTTGGGTCGTGACAAGTTGAAGTACTTGAGCTAGTAAGAATCTCAAAATTCTTCAAGGACAAACAAGCCACGGAACAATATGGATCAGAAATTTCATTTCAGAGTCAGTATATTACATGCATCAGACTCACTTTGCAAATATTGATTATGTTTAAATCTTCTTTTTTGCGCTAGTTATGTATCTTCCTTAACAGAAAAACAATTTCCTCAATACATTCTCTACCCCATATCTTGTTAACTAAGAGAATATATTATTGTCATAATGACCGAAAAAGACAGTTGAAGAGAAATCCACTGTGTTTCAGATTCAGCCATTGTGTTATCAGCAGGTTCCTTTCTGAAAAAGGTTATCAGAAAGTCTCATAATTACAAAAGGAAGAGAAGTATGCACAACTTCCTTGTAGCAGAAGGCAATATACAGACGAGGATGACGATCAAAAAAAAGAAAAACTCTTTAAACATTTGAAAGTAGAAAGAAAAAGGTACTAGAATGAAGCAAACATACTCGTCCAGAGCGTGTCTCGAGGGCACGCACACAATTGCTGCAATCACAGGGTAGCCAAAACAAGTCACTGCCAGTGTCAAGTGCCACTAGAAATGATAGTCCAGGAGTGCCCACTGTCACATTTGCATAATGCAAACTGCAAATTGCCAAAGAATATTTAGTCACACACCTTAAGAAGAAAAAATCACAACTACAGATACTACAGATTTTGCAACTCTATCTTTATAACACATAAATTACAACATGCTACTGCCAGAAACTTCAGAACAATTCCTTGTCTGGAGAGGAGTTAAGTGGCGGCAGAGGAGAGGAAAATCAGAAAAAAGAACGGAATTTATTTCCGGAGCTTGGAATTCGAAATAGAAGAAAAGTAAAATCAAATTAAGAGTCAGTATTTTATGTAGTAGTTAAATCGACAAAATTCCAGTCCAATCAAACACACAAACAGAATTATAGAACAGAACAGGCCTAAATCATTCTTTTTCTTCTTCATATTTTCTCCACTTGAATCTCGTTAAAAATGGCACATGGAACTTATTTAAGTTAGGTAACCTATTTTTCCTGAACTGCCATCCAACTAAACAGACAAAAACAAACGTAAAGCTCAGTCAACTCTAACATCACACTAAACAGACAAAAGGAAAAGACAGTAAACAAGAATTTCCAAAGACGTACTAGTTCACAATCAGGAATAATAACACAGATACAAAACACACATACAAAAAAAGAAGAAGAATTAACCCAAATAGCCGCCCACCCAACCACTTAAAAGGTATAATTTTTGTATTATATATGTATAATTATGTATAATTAGTATATAATCTATGTATATGACTAGAAAAAGTAAACAATAAAGATATAGACAAGTGCAAAAAGCAATCAGAAAAATGCATAGAGGGAAGCTTACAATCCCAAAGAACTGAGGCGGAAAGTTTCATTCCCTCCTGAAAAAGAGAGGGGAGTGGAATTAGCTGTATCAGCTTCAGCAAGGCGGCGACCCTTGATAAAGCGATCACGCTGAGTCCAAGCTGAATAATACTCAACACTGCCCTTCTCAGGCAATCCATGAAGGTCCAAAATACCCTTCACCGGATCCGAATACCGGTGATGGATATCAAACCCGAATGTCCCAAAACCATCGCTGCTCTGCAACTGCAATCCCAGAATCGCCAAGAAAATAATAGGGGCAAGGAAAAAATTAATACTTGTATAAGAATTAGCCATTTTTGTATTAGGAGAAACAGAAAAGACTGGTTCTTTATATGTGTATATATACAGGGACAAAGAAAAAGACAAAAGGGAAAATTAAAGAGAAAAAGCGAGAAGATAAAGGGAAAGGAAAAAAAAATTGGGTTGACGAGTTCGAACCTGTTGAAGATTTGCGTTGCTTCCATTTGTAGTGTTTTATTTGGGGTAAAATGGTGTGGGGGGAGAAAGTCGTCGTCGTCGTCTACTGTGTGAAAGACGAAAGCGTGGGGAGTTTGGTCACCTATGACTTGTTAGGGTGGCGGTTTAGTGGGCTCCACTTCCTTCTTATAGTGGGGTCCATGTTCTTTTTTATGGCAACTGATTACTACACTAATAGGAATGTCTATAGACTATAGTACGAATTAAAGCTGCGGATTTTCTGCTTAATATTGCTGTAATATACTCTAGATTCCCTTTTACTTGTTAATTATTCTAAAAATAAATTTTTATTTTTATTTATTATTTTTAATATATTAAGATAAAAATAATTTTTTTTTCTGTTATACTTACAATATTAATTATTTATTTCAAAATTATTAAAAATAAATATTAATTATTATAAATATTATAATAAATTATGTATTTTATTTATTATTAATTAAAGGACTGTGAAAAATAAAAAGGACAATTAAAAATAATATGATTTCTTCATGTTTTTTGCCCTTTTGTAAAAGCATTTGCATGTTTTGTAATGATTTTTCACTCTACTTTCCCCTTTGGGAAACTGGACTTTTACTTTTCCAAAGTAATTTGTCATGATGTTGTTTTCAGAAAGTCCTCTTTTTTTCAATTCTTTTATTCAGAATGTGCCGGTAAAAAATAGCTTTCCATTTAATAACTAAACTACAACTATGATATTAAGCAGGCGTTTTGACATAAAAATATAATTTTTGAAAAAAAATAGTGTTTGGAGTTAAGTTAAAAAATGATATTTGAAATTTGAAATTATGTTTGAACATACATTTCACTTGAAAAAATATTGTAGTTTTGTGAGTGGGTAAAATATATATATATTTTTTGAAAAACTTATTTTCGAAAAATTTCCAAAAACTTGTAAAATTACGTGGACAAACATATATTTTTTTAAAAAAAAATAATTTTTTTTTAGTTTTTATGGACAAATGAGGCTTAAATGATTTGGGTTTAATTGGATTCACATAATATGGTGTAATCTTTTGATTGAAATATCTGTACTTTTATTATATTTCATTTATCTCTTTGGTTACAAGTCTCATAAAGAATTTCCAATTAATGTCCAATTCGGATTAACTAAATCTGGTATAAAGAGTTAGTAGAGCCTTTTGGAGATTGGTTAAATTCAGGTTACATGGACATGTGTCTTATAAATGGCGATTAAAGATGATCCTGCCGCATGTAATGAGAAGATTAATAATACACAAAATCATGTGACTTTAAAAGATAATATAACATTCCAAAGAAAATTAACTAAGGAAAAAACAAGATACAATCACACACTAATCCCAATACTATTATTTATACCCCCAAGTACCTTTATTCGTAAATAAAACAATAACGTTAGTCGTAGACGTGGCGGAAGTTCAAGGGCGAAACCATTATTAATTGATTAAAGTAGAGAAAGTGATTTTTGGAAGATAAAATGAGGTATCCTAATCTCAGATAAATGATAGTTAACCTAACAAATTAATTATTCATTTTTGACCTATGGAGAGTTGTTATATATGACGTGGGTTGGTTTGGTGCAAACCGTTTACATTCGTCCATATCATATTCCGATTCGTTAATTCTCAGCACTCAAAAGGAGGGGAAAAAGAAACTCAAATCTTTCTTCTGAGAATTTTTTTCTGAAAATTGTTAAATTACTTTATTACAAGTAGTTCCATATATAATCTAGAAAATATTTTCTCTAGAAGCCGTATTTCGGAAAATTGAGTCCTTAAAAATGTATAGTATTAAAGTTGACCTTGAAATTCAAATATCTATCTTTTTAAGCTATCTTTCTCCCGTGAGACCGCCACATTAATTGTATAGGGGAGACGAGTTATATATCCTAAGACATTGCAATCAGTTGGAAGCTTCCTATGGTGGAAATTGTTTCCAGCTCTTTTTAATTCTTTGACTATACTTTGATTGGACTTGCAAGTTACATCCATTAAATAAAAACCACCCAAGAAAAATGTTATGAAGAGATTACAATTTCTCGTCCCAATTAATTTTTAATTTTTGAAAACTTATGGCCCAAAATAAAATTTTAGATATTCAAAAATTTAAAGTTAAATTATTATAAAATATAGTACAAAAATGACGTGTAGTCAAATTAACATTTTTAATCATTTCCTCCTTTTGTACTACCAATATGCTAGTAGTAGCAATTTTTTTCTTGGCAAAATATTCGAAGTCAAGGGTTAAAGATCGCGTGTTGTCTGCGTTTTTAGTACGGTACATTTATGATTATCATTAACTTTCTCATCAAAATTGGTCATATAGGTTTACCCTCTAAAGCCGCCAATCATGCTACATTGAATGAAACCCCACCTCCTAAAGTATCTTGATAAAGCAATTAGCTGAAACTGAAAGTAAGCAACTACTTTCAGAATGGCACGTAACAAACATGGCTTCTTGTTTTGACGGGTAACAAAATGAATTTAATACCTTATAAAACAGCAAAGGATTTAAGTTATATATATATAAACTGAAAGTGTGATGACTTTTTTATAGCATTAGTGTAATTTAATATGTTAAAACATGTTAATTGGAGTAGCATTTATTTTAGGTTATCAATTAATACTATTAAATAAAGTTATATGTAATTATTTTTTAAGTGATCTAATTGTGTAAATAATTTTACACTATAAGTGCATAAACTTAAAACTCCTTACAAGTGTGTGTATAAAGTTAGTGTAGTTTAAGTGATTTGATCGTGTAAATATTCGCATTTCCTTTTGATATATTCGTTTTGAAACTGCCATTCATTTTCTTAAAAAAAAACTTATAAACATATCATATTTACAGAATGTTACATCGGGATGACCACTCTTATTAGCACTTAGTATATGTACGCTATAGTTTTTCTTTTCCTTTTTTCCCCTTCCTCTTATTCTTAAATGTTAAGTTAGGTCAATCTGAACATTATATTATATTATATTTTTACTGCTGTTCCATAATGGTATAAAGTTTCAAAAAGTTTGAACTGGGAGCGCAAAGTCAATGGTATAGTAGGTAGGAGTATTCTCGCATCATGGATTTGATGCGTACAATCAAAGAGCAGAAGGGTCGGAAATTTATTTTTAAGCAGAAAACTTAACCAAAAAATAGATGTACTTCCTCCAACAATTGACCAAATGTAGAATGAACCTTGCTGGCAGCATGAAAAACGACACAAAAAAGAAAGGTTGCAAGTACAACAATGGTCGGAGAGTCGCATAGTCCTGATTTCATTTTTGTACTCATTTTCTTACTTTTGGAACCCAAATTTGAAATTTATGGTTTCTAGATTCTAGTACTTTCAAATTTCTTAAGTCTTAATTTCTCATTTATACGTATTAAATTAATTTTCTTAAGACAATTACAAAATTTGAACTAAAATTACGTCCAAACCCGTACTTTGGTCTCTAACAATCTTTTTGCCTACCGCGTAAACTCAGATTACTGTACTGTGTCAGACTGCAATAAAGAAAGTCCATTCTTTTTACCATCAACGCAAAAAACTTCATCCACAGTCAATAAACAATGTTTATTTAAACCGTGTTGACTAAACTGTTCTAAGATTCAAAGTCAATGCAGAAATACTACCGCTACACTATAGGAGTTCCCGCATTTACTAATCAATGACAAGTTGTCATTAAGATCCAGTTGCTAACAACTATTTATTGTATATTTTAGCCTTAGAATAATGGAATTATCAGAAAATTTGAAAAGCAATACTCCTATAAAAGAAGACCACTAGTAAAAGTAACATCTTTACCTAATGCACAGGGAATCAAGTCATGCTTTCATGTTTCAGTAGCAATTAAACTGGCCATAACATGAACTTCTGGGATAATTAGAATTTCTGAACTGGACGGTCCAGAAGCTAATTCCTAGCTGTAAAGAGCTAAAATAGCAAATATAAGTTGTTTATTCTCTCTCTCTCTCTCACACACACACACACAGACACACAGAGACACACACACACATATGAATCAAAAAGAGCAAGTGCTGCACTAAACAATGTTGCCTTCTTGAATAGAAAGATCAGCATTCATGTTCTAACCTATTATGGCAGAGTAAACCTAATCCAAAACTTCATGGTAGTGTAATATGACATCCGCCACCCTGCCAGTTCCTACTTTCACCCCTCAAAAGAAAATGCCACAATCACATTACATAAAATGTAGGGTCGATTCAGCTGCCTCTAGACACTGAGATGCCAATTCAGTGTAATATGACATCCGCCACCCTCCCAGTTCCCACCTTCACCCCTCAAAAGAAAATGCCACAATCACAATACATAAAATGTACGGTCGATTCAGCTGCCTCTAGACTGCCAATTCAAAATGTCATCCATATCCATTTTCCAATGGAGCTATACCTAGGACATTAGGTGGAAAGTCGAGGGGTTGAGGGGCAAAAGGAGAAGAGGAGAAGTACTAATTGGATATCATTCCAGCTGCGACAGTGGAACATGGTGGCTCCATACAATCTCACTGCTCTATTGCAATCATAATGTACATTAGCTACCATATTGCCATGTCTTAACCACAAGCATAAGGTTTGGCTCGGAAGAAATATAACTTTTCTGTATGTATTTACATTAAATGGGTTAGCCTCGAAATCAAATATGAACAGGCAAAGAAAAAACTTCCGACCATATTGGAGCTTTACAAGGTTGTTATCCGCACTATGTGCTAAAGTGCTAAGAAACATACCTAAATTCTGAGAACTTCAACCACATCTAGCTGCCAAAAGGTCAGTAACAATGAGCATATAGTAGCTATTATAAAAGTAGCATTGTTAGAGATGCTAGGTAGCAGTTTATCAATAAAATGTTTGATAAACTGATGATGCAAAAGAACTTTGAGGAGTATTTGTAGTCCTTTCATCTGATTTTTCTGCATCATCATTTCCAGGCCCAACAGCAACAGCAGGTGGCACACGAGTAGTATTAACGGCTTCTGAAGGGAAATGGTCTATTTTTTCAATCTCATAACCTGCATGAACGCCATAAATCCAAACCAGAAGTAAAAAAAACCTACGCTATTTGTCTTAGTTAAGTTATTGGAGAAAAGAACACTGTAAACAACACTCACAATCAAACTTCTTCCAACCGAGAATGGCCTTTTCTCGATCAAACACAAAGCGGTATCCAGTCATGAAGTTTTCTGGAAAAAGATCAGTACGAGCAATAACAGTCACACACCGCAATGTGTAAATGACTAGATCCATTTTTGAGCAGCCCACTTTAAGTATCTTATCAATGATAGACAACCAAAACTTTAGAGTACTGAGATTAAATCTAGCGGTTTTATTGCCTGAGAGTTTATTACTTTGCTAGGAATCTGAAGCATCAATTTCACCAGGTGTTGAGACTCTTTAGTCTACAAAAAGGTGATTATTCTATTCCATTATCAGAAGCCTAACATAAAGAGAAAACCACTCAATTTCAGGGAATTAAAGCCAAAACAGCTGTTATCTCTAACACCACTATTTTGCTGACAACTCTTTTTAAAGTAAAGCGTTTTGGAAAAACTAAATCATGAAGTCCTCCAGTTGAACAGAAGCTACAAAATTGCTGAATGAATAATATTACAATGTACAGAATTAGAGTCTCACATTGGTTAAGGATATGCATTGTTGTCTTCTTATATGGTCTTAGGCAATTCTCACCTCATGAATTAGCTTTTCGAGTTGAGTTAGCTTTCCTTTTATTTCATGTAGCAGTAGAGACAGACTTTCTTATCACGTGTTTGAAACTTCATTTCCCTTCAATCCAATGAAAACAGAAAATTTAAAAGCATTGTTGCACTTAGGAAGCTTACGTCCAATTATATTTAGATCTTGACTCTTCACAACGGCCAGGCAATACACGAGTTGACCCTGCATAGGAGACAGTAGTTAGTACGTTTACAGGAAAAAAGGCAATAACTGTAATTAAAAAGAAATTATTGTGCAAGCCAGTTGAAAGATTATACCTGCATGGATATAACAATAATTGGATCATAGACAACAAGTTGGCCTCCCCCTTCTATAGTTAGGCTTAAACTAGGAATCAAGCTTGTATTTGCATCAGGACTGTCCAATAATCATAAAATGATAAAAGGGAATAAATAAACAAATAAATATTAAAAAGAAAACGTTGATAGAAATATATACATAATAAATATTACCTCATATCATAACAATATTCAAAAGGGATCCTAGGATCAGGTGGGCGCCGCTTGTCTAATACTTGAGAATGGAACTGTTGAGGAAGAAGACATTTGAATCTTAAACATTGTCTAACAATGTCTACAAATAAGCACCATTTGAAAAGGATACTTACACTCTCTGTAAGCTTTGTATAGGATAGGTCAGCAAGATATGTAAAGGAGGTTCCGGTATCAAAAAGTGCTGTAAAACCTGAATCAATGTGAGTTGTTCCGACGCGTATTTGATCTACAGAAATGTTATACGTTGGGCTGCAAAAGGTTTGCCACAAGAGCATGATTAAGTGATCTAAAAGATTTGGATGGAGCTGACCAGAAAAATTAAAGGTGGTGTTTAATGGCGTGATTACCACTTACTGTAATGGGTTTATATTAAAAGGGGTCTCTTCCTGGTCAAAGCTACCCTTGTCTCCAAAACTAATTCGTCCTGCCCCATCATGACCAAAGCACATGGAGAAGGAATCTGACATAAAACCTTCTCGAGACAGAATACTAGGGACTGATATCTTCTCAAGCCCAAGACCAAATAAACCGTTTGGAGCTGCAACATCTAGAAAAGAACCAGTCTGCACCTGTCCACAACTGCACACTTGAAATTGGCATTTATAAGAGAAAGAATTTGAGGACTTTGGCAGAAGCAGAAGCACTTCTCAGTTACCAAGTTAACCAAAATGTACCTTCCATACAACACATATAGTTAAAAATACACTGCTGGAGATCAACCCAATGGCAATCAACTTCAGGATACTTACCCAAAGATCACACGCGCCTGGACAAATGTTTCCTCATTGTCTTCTGTTCTCAAGTGTAGAATATCATCCACTAAAATTCCTGAAGTTGAAGTTTCCGAGGAGACATAGGACACTGAATAAGAGCAGTGGCTATATACACCAAGGCAATTATTGCGCTCTGTACACAAGCTATTACTGCAGGTGACCTGCTTGCTAGTTGAAGAACCGTTCAGGCTGTATATGCTAAGCTCAAAATCCTGGAGCAAGAACATAATTTACTTTAGAAGGAGTGAAAAGGAAACAATGAGAACCAAAAAAGGGATTGATCTCATTTCTCTAAGAACCCTTCTAATTTATCTGGCAAAGCAAAGTTAACAGTGTAGCTAACCCTGCTATCTTTAGAGATTAGAGCAAGATAATTCCATCGAATCATGGGCTATAGGAGGAACCACCAGAATCACCATACACGATTGATGAGTAAGGCTGTGAGGGAATAAAACAAATAACAGTAAAATGGTAACCCCAACTGGAAAACTAGGCCATAAAAGTCACTTCACAGATCAATTGTTCATCAGTGCCCGAAAGATGCTATAGGGTAGAACTAATTAGTTGTCTGTTCAAGTTGACAATAATGTGCAAGTTAATTAGAGACGGGAACCTGTGATCTTCGGCTACTTCACAAAATAATGGCATCCAAAAATGTACAGCCCACAACTATTATGCCCTTGTAAGTGGTGATTTTCTAGTTTACTGTACATGTCTCATTAGAACATCTAATTACACTCACAAGTTATAGTGTGCTGCATTGTTAGAGGCACAAAAAGTTGTAGATACTAATGCAAGTTTACAAACGGATGATAATTGTTTTCACTATTCACACGAAATCACAGTTTACCATTCTGTCACAAGAAAGCTCTTATGAAATTTATTAGCTCCTCACCTTTCCATCATATGCATCTTGTGCCTAAATAGCACACAATTCATGGATGCAACAAATGGTCTAGCTGTCAAAGGCACTTTTTAGTCAATCCTTTATGTTATAAAATGCTGATTGCTAAGTACCATTCTAGGAATTTCGCATAAAGCTCAGTTTGTTCAGAGCTTTACACCACAATGTCTCACTCAATCCTTTCATATGTAGATATAATTAAAGACACCCAAAAAAGAGAAGGGGGGAAAGTAAAACATACAGAGCTGTAAAGTGTAGGATCATCAGTAGAAGCACATTTGCCGCATTCACAAGGCACCCAAAACAAATCACTCCCAGTATCAAGCGCCACAAGAAACTTCATCCCCGGTGTCCCCAATGTCACCGTAGTGTAATGCAGGCTACAAAAACAAGAATTTCAAAAATTAAACACAAAAATACTCCCAAGAAATAGCAACCAAAAGAAAACAGAAAAAGGGGATTTGTTTGGACTTACAATCCAAGAGAGCTGATCCGGAAAGTGGAATTGCCATCAGAGAAAGTAAGTGGTCCGTCAAATTTGAAAAGCCTCCTACCATGTAACAACTTATCGTGGTTGGCCAACTGAGTATAGTACTGAAGACTTCCTTTGACCGGCCAATTATGAAGTGGACCACCTATTTTCTGCAGTGACCACTTCTTGACAGTTTCAGAGAAACGGTGGTGCATTTCAAATGTGAAAACACGGCCACTGCATTGTCGAATTGAGAGCAATGTTAGAAAGAAAATAATGAAAGAAGACATTTTTCTTTATCTCTAAGAAGTGCTTAGGAACTCAGATCTTGAACTGTAATGGCACTGAAATTAGTTATTGGGTAGACAGCTTGAGAGTTAGGTTTTCAGAGGGAGAGTCAAGAAAAGGAAAAAAGAGAGAAAAGGATTAGATTGGAAGTAGAGAGTAAAGTTTGACAGTTGTGTGGAAGTTCAAGAAACTCCATTATACTGAGTCGAGTTGGATCTTCATGGGTTGTTTCCTGGTTCATTGTCACATTTTCCAAAATTAGTAATTTTGCCAAGTTGAGAAAATTTCCAAGAGATGATTGCCTTTTTTTTTTTTATTTTATGGATTTGGCATTTTATCATTTATAGTTATCACTATGATGGACCCATATTATCATTTTTTTAATTGGAAAATGAGAGTATGTAGTCTCTCTAAAAACAATAGCCGAAAAAATATATATATTCTTTATATTATATACAAAAATTATACAAAATTTATATATTTTTTCGGCTAACGAATGTAAATAGTTTCTGCACGGGCAATATCACGCCCCAAACCTGAAGAACGTGACCGGCATCCGGTACCATACTCGGCCCGAGCGTACCACTCTGTAACTGTGAACTCTAGAGGGGTAAACCTCAACCTAGGCCGATGAGGCCATATTCTGAATCATCTGAAAATATCGTCTCTCTCATCTGAGGGGTAAACATACCCAAAAACTCATATATATATATATATATATATAAATGTGCAGGCTGACGAGGCCGCCATGAACATCTACTGATATACAAACTATACAGGACTTGTCTACAAAACCTCTAGAGATAGTTGAACTGTATCATGGTCGGGACATGGCCTCGACCTACCCATCAAACCTGTATATATAAAACGGACTCCAAGGTCTAGACCTGGTAACTCCGGGAAAGCGGAGCTTACCAACCAAGCTGATATTTGGCTCTGTCTACTCGGAAGGTCTATCCAGCTGTATATCAGGACCTGCAGGCATGAAATGCAGCGTCCCCAGCAAAGGGACGTTAGTACAAATACTGTACTGAGTATGTAATGCAATAAAATAACTGAAAGCTGAAACTGAACTGATGATATAATAACTGAATGTAACTGGGAGTCAAAAATAATTTGAAGATATGCTTACCTGCTGATACTGACTCAACTCTCTCCATATAGTATGTAAAATAGATGTCCGGTCCTATAAGGGTCGGTATGTGTAACTGCCCTGCAGTAGTAGGCTCGCTCATAGGCGCTCGGCCATACTAGGCTCTGTATCTCGGCCATTCTGGGCT